GTAATATGAATGCATCATATTATACGATATTAAAGTATTATACATAATATTTTGGGAATAAAATATTATTATATTATAGTATTTCATTTATAATTAAATATAAAACTAACGCAGATGAAATAATTATTTAATTTATTTGTTTGAGTAATGACATTTATTGAGTATCGTTATACTCCTATAAATGAATAGGTTAATGCATTATAATACTTATTTTCCGTCAAATGAAATACAAATAATGATAATTTATTAATAAAATATATTTCAGAAAATGATTTATATTGAAAAAACGGCATTGTACCATTGTCACAAAGACTGACAATAATAATTTCTGTGATATACTGGTACACGACAAAAAAATTATTTAAATATTTCAATAATTAATGTGAGAGTGTGACAATAACATGGGACATATAAGAAATACAGACACATTCTGCCACACAATAACAACGCCCTTGTAATAAGGGCGTTGCCGTTATTAATAAATTACAAGTATAAATAATACAGTAATGCATAATAATATTATAATAATCGGGGAATGGATTTACTAGCTTACTTTTTGCATATACTTTTCATAAAATGCTAAGACATTTTAGTCAACAGAATCACATCATATTTGTGCAATTTTCCATCGACTACTTGTCTATTTTGTTTTTATCGTTTGCAGTTTGTAGAATAGAGTAATTACTCTGTTTTGTAGTCACAACAAATATTTTGTATCATCTGGTATCTTCTAAGAATTATCTATTTTTTTTTTTTTTTTGTTATTTTGTAATTTTTTTAAAGCATATTTTACGATTATAAAGCACATGTATCATGTATGTATACATTTTCAAGTGTTATGGAATGCTATCATCGAAATAATAATTATACCGAATAAATATTTTAGTAAATTCTTAATTCTTCAATTTAAAGTATTATTATTGCTCTACAATTGATATAAATAAATAATAATTTTTTACGATTGACGTTTCTATACTGTGTAGTGTGTATCCATAATTATTATTCTGAGTACCCAGTACATATAGTTAGGTACTAGGTACTACCTATAGTTTACAGTATTACCTAACTGGTTGTGCCTACACACTTAAAAAAATTCATTTTATGGTATTTTATGTATATTAAGAACAAAATATTGTAGTTTTATGTATAATAAAAATGAATTATGGTAGGTATATAAATTATGATATAAGTATTTATATTATAATAATAATCATTATTAATTGTTAATAAAGTTTTAAATACAATAATTTTCCAAAATGTATTCACAATTCTATTGAATCTAAATTTATTTGAATAATTATTCTTCAACTATAAATTAAATCGCTGTAATATTTATTGTTATAAATTATTTATTACAACCCAGCTGTTGTCGACATTACTTTCTCATTAAAAATGACCTATATAATATGTAATATGTGTAAAAGAAATAAAATGGTAAAAATCGCAAATCTTAAAATATGAAAATATAATGCTATTACGTTACTTTCCAATATTATAGATTCGTACACATTTTAACCTACAGAAAGTATTTTGTGATTTCTACATTTGAACTTCAACTGATCGAGAGATTATCATACGTATCCATCTCTATAATCACGCCTTTGAGTTAGTTAAATTTGTTTAGTATTATATAACACATCTCTCTAAGAACTATACATATATATTTATATCGATTGTAAACCAGACACGTTAAGTACTTTATAAACACATGTTTTACCAGACGTTTCTTAGCCTTATTCAGGAGCATTGTCAGCAAATTTTAATAACTTTATATTATATTAAATCGCTTTTAGAAAACATCTCGGTTATTTTAAAGTGATTTAGAAAATAATAACCCTATCTACAGGGATTTTAAATTTTCACTGTATCATACACAATAATTCATAGACGAGATACAATTTCCATTTCGCAATTTATTGTTTTATCGTTAACTGTACTCAGAATAGGTACTCAGTGCTCGTACAATACGTTTTGTAATTCAAGATACCTATTAGATAACCTTATTTTTCAAAACTACGATTTTTATGTTAACTCGACTGCTTACTCGTAAGTAAGTTAATACTCGTCCGTAATCCGTGTACTGTATTGTCTTTAGGTATTCGGTTACCACCTAGCTAAAGTGTGTATAAAACCTACACACTATACACTATAATTACACTATTATTACAATCATCAAAAAAAAAAAAAAAAAAAATGGAAATGAAAATGGAAATGAAAATAACAACCAGGCGATATCGTATTGTTGAACGATCTTCGTATATTAGTTTCTTGTTACTTCCAACCCGATCGGATATTATAATATATTATTATAAACCACGAATTCTGCAGCACAATATTATAATATACGATCGGCAAGAGCGATAAAAATAACGCACGCTTTCAATACTAAATAAGTCGACCGAGTATAAAACGACGTAAGTAATGTGTATTATAATAATATTACCTATATGTATAATATGTTATATGAATAATATAATATTGTTATAATATGTTATATGAATAATATAATATGTTATATGAATAATATAATATTGTTATAATAACTGGTTGCAGCCGAACCCATTAACCAGTACATAAGTACTGTTTAAACTGGGTACGATAATATTGTATTACAACGGTGGTAATGTTATATAGTAAACAATAAAATATGGCTTGCACACAATAAATATGTATATTATAATATACGCAAAGTGACAAAATCACGTTTATGGTCATAATATAACACCTGATACCTATGTAAATTACTATACACACTGGATAATATAATGAATTCCTGAGTAAACATTAACACCAGGTACTGTCGTTAAAATTTATAATTGCGTCCTATATATCCTAGGATCTATATTATAATAGACTGCAGTCGATTAAGTGATTATGACAATTTCGCCGATTTTGAATTCTTCAGAATTCCTGTAAATTCTTATTCATATGAGTATAACTATACGACATTATAACAGATTCAAATTTTTTTTCAACCGAAAACCAAAATATGGGGGAATTATATAGAAAAACCACCAAACACTCAATTATATGAGAGATAAATGGTTAATAAAGATAAAAACAAAATTATAGTTTTACATGTAAATAAAATGGTGAATTCTTAAAATATTACCCACTTACAATACTAATGAAAAATATTTTTTTAGCTAAATTAGGTTACTTTGTATATCAGTGCCATAATTTCCATAGAGCCTTTATTTTGATTAAAGTTGACCATTTGACCCTTTAAAATTATTTTACATTTGTATTTGTATACATATAGCCATATAGGTTATTCGTTAATATCTGTATTGAATATGCATCATATTTTACAAGAAATTAAAACGTATAGATACTAAAAATATTTTTGAAATAATCGTATTATCTATACTAACTAATGTACCTATTGAATATTTGTAATCTGTAATATGGGCCCAGAGTTAGTGTATTTTTCATTTTTGAAAAAAAAACCATAATTTTTGTTATTTAACTGTTTATTTAAAATAACTCAATTTCAATTTAATATGTAATTTACTTATACTCCAATATGCCGTGTACTATAGTTATTTTTCACTGTTTATTTATTACTTATTTTAAATATTTTCTGAATGGATATTTTATGTGGACATTGTATTGTGATTATATCAACTATTAAATAAAAACATTTTCATTTTGGTAATTTATTCAATAAAATTTTTAAAAAAAATTAAAATAAGGGATGATAATAGATATAATTATTTAATACTTTACATTTTCTTCTGAAGGACATCTATTATTATTTATTACCTATTGCCTATTAAAATTAAACAAAAAAAAAAACACATTATTCACTTGGACCTTACACTGTTTTAAACATATCAACCCCGACTATGGCTTATTAGATTATTAAAACTTAATTAGCCATTTATAGTTTTTGAGTATAAAATATTTAACAAAATATCATAACATGTCGGAATAGCCATACAAAAAATAGTATTATAGTAAAAGTTATCTGTATCAGATTTTTTCCTCTTTACCCAGCAAAGTAACTAACTGGATATATGACACTCAGCCGAGGGAGAAAATAAATTTATAATAGCAACAAATATTTTTAAAATTTTGTCGTCTTACGCAATATCTATCATATTATATGGTTCAATATTGACAATGTTTGAATTTAAAAGCTTTAATAGTGGCAAAAGAATCTGAAGCGACATAGGTAGTATATATTATAATTGTGTGCATAATATCATAAGTACCGGTACTATAAGTATAATATTCACATACTACGATTCTCCCGATTGTATAGGTATTAGCGGCGGTGGTATAATACAAATCAAAATAATTTGATGAGTTAATTTCATTTCAATTTCCCATGTTTGTTTAGTGGACCATACTTTTTGTACTTCCTATACCACCCGATTTGGGTTGTACTCCCCTGAAGTTAGAATAAGACATGTAACGTGTAAAGTATATAGATATAATTTGATAATGTATTAATCTGCATTATATAGTGACCATATAGGGTACCTATATAGTTCGATTACAAAAGTAGGTCGTCATACAAAAGATATATTTTTCAAAATAAGAATACACTGTTGCTAAATTTGAGAAACCTTATAATTTCAATCACTAATAATAAAGTGACTTTCTGCACATTTTGGTCTTGTACAAAGTCGTGAACTTTTTAGATAAAATACAAAATATATAAAACAACACCAATAATAATATCTTAATATGTAATAATATTTAGAAATGATTCCAAACAAGTCGAATAAAACACATTTATCACTTAATTGAATTTTATGTTGTAAATATTAGTCCTACGTACACATTATTCAACGTTACTAAATGAACGGAATTTAAATACCTTTATCAATCAAAATGTTAAATATTATATAATTGTATGCGAAAAAAATGCAATTACTTGCACTTATGTGCTATACAATATCCAATCGTAATAATATTATATTATATGTTTTAATATACTTTCGACACACTTGGATTTGATTTTAATACATTTTTTTTTTTGTTTATTCTAGCGGAAATCACCGATATCAAATTCTTATGTCTAAACGGGACGGTATTCGATCAGGAGACCAGGGTATGCGAACGTTTGGACGAAGTAGATTGCAGCAGGAGTGAAAGTTTCTTCGATCTTAACTTGGAGCTGTACGGAAACAACGGAGCGGGCTATGGGTAAATAATAATACATTGTCGTTTATTACTGCAATAAACAAATCTATATAGGTAACATGAATAAGGTGCGCACAGAAACAAAGTCGTATACAAGTGCTAGTGAATAATTTTTAATGGAAGATTGTTTAGTAGAGCTTAAATATTCGAAGGTATATAATTATTATCGTACGAAAAATATTTTGGGTCCGTTCGAAAATCTGTACAACAGGTTTATATACATTCAATTTTTGAGGTTGCGTTTTTTATTATATTACCGCGATAAAATTATCATACAAGTTGTCTGCTATAATAAGTTGTTTGCCCTGATCGTTTTTACTATTTTGTTTGATACTTTATCAATAAAATAAATGAAATATTATCCAACAATGTAATATCATATATTCATATGCCCACTGGGTATTAAAATATGTACATATAGGCGATAGGTGGTACGTTGAAATGAGCCATATAAATGTGCTATATTACATATTATTATATAATTATAAAATAAAATATATACATTAAGTATACACATGTTACATGTATTTACTTGATGAGATGATTTTCATAAATATTAATACAAATAATAATTATAGTATAGAATAATGTTATTAAAATTTTACAATATTTTATTTTAAACCCGTAATTATTGTATTCAATAAGCAGTAATATTGAAAACTTTCAAAATATGACTTGTACTAAGTAGTATAATTTGGTATGTCGTATGTATTAATCAATGTTCGTCGTTTTGACACAACATGTATTTCAACATCATATAATAAGTACTTACTTAGTGTACCAAACACTTTTAAAGAAATAATAATAATAATTTAGAATAAAAATAACATTTATTTGCACAATATTATACATAATACAATCGTACCGTACTACTTTATTACTTATCCATAGTAAATTTAATTGATTCTTTTTTTTAATCTAAATAGATATATTGTCTATAAGTGTGGCATTCTGAATAATAAATAATTAATGAACTATAAATTAAGCCTCATAAAGAAAAATAATTACTTATAACAAAACATATAGGTACACAGTACACACACATAAAAAAATATAATGTATTTAATTCTAATATTTTGGTCCCCTTTAGTGTTTAAAATGCTATATATTCTGATACCTTCGTGCTTTATAAAAACTTATCTTTAAATAATTAATTGTAGTTTTAAGTAATTTACAAAAAAATAACCGATTCAATTCTTTGATATTGTATATTCTTGAAAAGAAATGAAAAAATTAAGTAAATCAAAACGAAAAGTGACTGGAATGAAGTTGAAAAGTCAAAATCTCAAAAGCTGACATTCCCACCCGATTATATTATATTACCTTCTATACCTACATATTTATGTGACGAATTCTTGCAGGATTGCACCGGAAGAACCACCGGAACAGGAACCGGTGCAGTGTAACGTGGACGAAGAAGAGTGTTCCGGGACGCCCGACTACTTTGACGAGGAAATGACCACGGTCGCGGGGCCAGTAGGCGCACTGGCGGCCACCGTGGCGGTCACTGCGGCGACGACGACCACCACGACGACCACGAGCACCACCACGACGACGCCGCGGACAACCACGACAAGCGCGGCCACGAGCACCAAGCGTCCGTCGCAGCCGATAGTCATGACGAGCACGCCGAAACCGACGCAGCAGCCCGCCGTCTCGTATCCTACAAACTCGCCGGAAACGATAGCGGCCCTGATAGCACTGCACAACGCGTTCCAAGAGAGCCTCAAGGAACGGGAACACGGGCCCGGGCCCAAGGGGCAGCAGTCCCATCACAGGTACCATCCACCATCGCCGCCGCCACCTCAACAACAGCAGCCCAAACCATTTACGGTATCCAACTTTCAACCACCCCGGCACTTCCCGTCCAAAACGCCGCAGCAGCATTTGCAACAGCAGCAGCAGCAACTGCAACTGCAACAGCAACAGCATCAGCATCTACAACATCAACAGCAGCAGCAGCAGCCACCACCGCCACCGTACCGACATCAGCAGCAGCATCTGCAACAGTCCCAACAACAGCAGCATCAGCAGCAGCAGCAGCATCCGGTTCTGTTGTCGTCCGAGCGGTTCGGAAACCAAAACTTCCGGCACGGCTTCCAGTTGCAAAACGACCACCACCGCCACTCGTGCAGGACGAATCGCCGCCTCCGTCGTCGTACCAACAACAGCAGTACAACGGAGACGGTGCACAGTACGACGGTAACTACGACGAAACAGTCGGGGCTGTCGGACTGGGCGACGAAGAGGACGTGGACGACGAAGAGTCTCGGAGGAACTTTGCTCGCGAAGCTCCCGAATCTTCGGTCTCGGTTTCAGTGCAGGTCAGCTCGTCGTCGACTAAAAACAGTGCCATCAACCAGCAGCAACAGCAACAGCAGCGGCCAACGCAGGTGGCTGTCGTCGCCGCTGCAGAGTCTGCGACGCCATCCCCGACCACGACGACGACCACGGCGGCCACGGCCACGGCGGCCGATCGCCCGTTCACGGACAAGCCGTCACTGCCGCAGCCTCCTCCTCTTGCGGACGACGCCGACCCGAACGGCGGAGATCTGTACGAGGACGAGTACGAAGAGTTGGAAGGCGACGAAGAGTTCTTCAAGGACGTGCCAAAACTGGGTCGAGACAGGAGACGGAGACACGCAGCGGGCGGCGCCGGACGAGCGTAGCGATATGATTGATAATAATAATAATATTATCGTTATCGTTTCCAACCGTACGACGCGGGAACGGCCGCCAAAGCCACCGCGAGACGATCGAACGCAGTTCAAAATGTTTTTGCTCAATAGTTTTGCGTCTGTTGTTACGATCACGACTATACTATACGCGAATACGGCCATTTTTTTCTCTTCTCGTCGTCGTTCGTATAATATTCTTTTACGCGCCGACGTTCCTGAATCCTCCTCCTCATCGTCTCTCTCTGCCACCCTCACTTCCTACACCACCTCGTCCTACCCACGAATAAGGAATATGTAAAAGTGATTTATTTTTTTTGTTTATTTTTTTACTCACATATTTTATGTATATTATTTAGACCGATTTTTTTTTTTTACGATTACGCTAATGACGATTATAATATTATTATTATTATTATCAATTATTATTTTTTTGCAATAATTCTGTAATGTAAAAGAATATTATGTCCCTTGCTATTCCTTTAACTGTCGTGTATAATCAGGGCTCGGGACTATTAGCACTCGCGTGTGTGGTGTAGTACTGGTGTATCAGTTTCGGATGTGTACCATTATACATTTCTGCGAAATCGTTTGAGATTTTATATTATATTAATACTTTTTTTTTTTTTTGTCTCGATTACGTTTTGAATTGAATATTTTCTAGACACTATGTCTCGTCGAACTGGTAGTATTAATTATTTATCATCATTTTAAATACCAAAATGTTTAGATTTTACAGAAAAATTAAATTTGAGGTGAAGCGTAGGTACTACGTATTCAAGTGATATATTTTAAAATAAGCGCTCAAGTCCTGACCCATGATTATAATATTATACGATATCACACTGCTAACGTCTGTCGTGAGTGATATTGTTTTTTCTCTTTTTTTTATGCGGGAGGGGAGGAACGATTTAATTTTGTATACCATTGTATAAATTAATAATATAAATTATATTGTACGAATGAAAATATACAATATGTTTCTTTTACACCCAACGGATATTAAAATAAAAGAATATAATATTATATTTATATAAAATATGTAATATTATTCCGAGTTAACAAGTATAATATTTAGGAATGTTTACAACGTCGTACGCATATAACTGCAGTATAGAATTATATTGTAATTTTTTTACGCTTGAAAACATAACAATATCATATAATATAATATGTTATCGATGATTATTAATTTTGTGTTTTTCCTCACATATGATGGGTAATCTAGACTGATATTGTTATTATTATTGTATACTCGGATTATTGTGTTAGTTTACGGAAAGCGTATAATATATACGATATTAAAATTGCTTAATCATTTTTAGTACATAACGTCATGCTTTTATATTTATTTCCACCTATATGTCGATATATCTTCGTTATTGTACATAATATTTTGTACGCACATGATCGGATCGAAAAAATGCCAACGACTTCCATTTAGTGGAGTACCTATACCAACCACGAAGTCAGCGAAATCATATACTTAATGGGAATTTATTAGTGTTATATTGTTATACAAATATAAACCACATAAATTATAATATAATATTATTTATGTTGAATTACATCGAAACCATCAGCGAAGTAAAAGCGTCATTATTGAGCTGTACATTTTCCGCTAAGCGATTTTAAGTATTGTGCCAATTACATAATAGTATAATAGGTATTGTTAATTGTTGTATGCTTGGAACACACTCGCCATCGGATAAACTAAATTATAACCAATAATAAAATATTAAAAACATTTTAAATGGTATAATAATTTTACAATTATATTATACCCAATACTTACAATTTATTGTATTAACTATTTTAGGTATTAAATACAACTGTTTAAAAATAAATTGTGTACATTTTTGTTCCAATTAATTTAATTTCACACGAAATGCATTAATTATATGCATCGCCGCCGATTGTTAGAGGCTATACTTGTATTAATTGGCGCTTGGTGTTATAGTAGAGCAAATTTATGAATTTCAAAGTATCTTTTGAAAACTCCGACACATTTTTATTATTCAAACAACTATAGACTATAATACTATATGTCGTATATCGTATAATTATACGTAAAAGCCGTAAACCATACCGACCATAGGTATCGTACATTTTATTCGGGCAAAAGAACTCTAGGATTAACGTTAACCAAGATTACATTAGTTATACAATTTAAACAAATAAACTTCAATAATTTAATGATGTATAAAATAAAAATACAATTTTACTACGAAAATAAGTATTTAGTGAAATTAAATAATTTATACCTACTCCATAACTTAAATGATAATTAAAAATGTATTTTATTTTTATTAGTTAAAATGTACATATTTTAAATTATTACCTATTATTTATAATAAAATATCAACCCATAATAGTAGATAGGTATTTACAAATTCAGTGAATGGATATTTAATCAAATGTAGGAAATTTAAAATATTTTTGAATTAAATTATTTATGAAATAAAATATATTTATATATTATTAATTAAAATATGAAAAGTTACTGGTTTATTTTATTGCGGTAAAGCACGATTGAGCATAAAACGATTGAGCATATAACATTTTAGCAACAAGATTGAGCATAGAATATATTTTTATGCGATGTTGCCACATTCAAGTGGCCGAAATTTTGTAATTTATTATTTTCACAAATTATTACACCAATTATTATGATACCAGACGCGAGCCGTGAGCTGAGCCTAGCTTTATCGACAATACTATCGATTAATAAATTATAAATTAGTTCCGGAGCAATAAAGTTCTGACGTTTTAAACATTTAAAATTGGTGGAAAATATTAGATAGTAAAGATACAATTCCAAAATTATTATAGATATAACCCATACTCTATAGTATTCTTGACTTATAATTTATAAACCATGCTGCAGTATTTTTTTTAATTCGTACCATATTTTTTATTTTATTATTTTCATAACTATTATTATTATAAAATTATTATAACAGATTTATGAAATGTGACTATATTTTTTTTTTTTTTTTTTTTCATTGATCATTAAGCCCGGCAACTATGGCCATTAGCTGTTTTTGTTTGTTTGTTTGTTTGTTTGGTTTGTAGGGGAGGGAACTGTTGGTTTGTAAACACGTGTGTTTGTGGTGGCAGAATTTTTATTGGGCACCCGTAGGTTTCTGCCATGCCCCGGAGTGGGGGGATGGCGGCACTTGTTTTCCGGACACCGTGAATTGCCCGGAAAAAAATAACGCCCGGTGGTCGAGAATCGAACCCGCGACTGCCAGCGCCGCGGCCGACGCGTTAGACCGCTCGGCCACCTCGTCCCCCGTGACTATATTATTGACTATGAAATCATGTTATTTTTTTGATATGTTATATTTTGAATTATTATAATTATTTAAATAAATATTTTTGTATAATATAGTTTTAAATGGAAAATGGCAACGTTTCAGAGTTTTTTTATGCTCAATCGTGTAGGTTTTCTTTTGTATTCCGATTTCCTTTGATACGCCGACAATTTGGCTCAATCGTATCGCAAAAAAGGTGTTTTATGCTCAATCGTGTTTCATCCATTTTATTCTAACTGGGTAGGTATTTCATTTGATTAATATTTATAGTACACTAAATAAAGTAGTGAAAATAAGCCATTAAGGTTTGCCATTAGGTTTAGTTAGATAAAATAACATGACATATTAAATAATTATTAATAATCCAATACATTTTATTTTATTTTTCTTGTAACTATTTTATTTGTCAATGGTAGTTATAGATTGTAAAATCACTTTAGAATCAAAAAATTGATATAATATGGAATTTTAGTGAAAATAATTATACATTTCGATTATAGCTTGAATAGTTTTCTCTAGTTGGTATTTATTGAGTCAATTTCACCAACCACGACACTCTCATAAATATTAATATACGGCAATCCAGTGTTTATTATATGTATAATATTATGTCACATCTACTTATAGTGAAATCAATGTTTACGGATATCTGGATTATGAGTTTTAACGAATATCCATAATATTATGGACATATACATTTCATGAAACCGACATTATCTACCTATATTGTGAACTTTGTGGAATTAATGATTATTATTAGACAAATTATTAAGTTATACAACTATATTGTCGCATTTACTGATTTATGAACAAAAGCATAACAATTTAATATAGGTATCATGATAATAGTATAACATTATTTTTTTCTATTACTTTTAATATAGGTATTTATTATTTATAAATGAGACTACAGTCTATTAACTAATTAATCTTAAGTCATATAACATTTTATCGTATCGACTTTTTATCTACTATTTCACTAAATATGCTCATTTACATATTATGGTTGATGAAATGGAAATGGAAAATAACAGAACGTACCTAAATAATTTTGGACTTAAATATAAATAAAAATGAATAAAATAAAATAAAATATAGATAGTGTCACCACTCAATAATAACATAAAAATATTAGTTGATACAAATTTCGATATTAGTAGTAATATTGTATTCAAACAGTGGTTAAAAATATCGACGACAATATTATAATTTACTGTCAACGTGCAATCGTAAATTATGTATATTATAAGTAGGTAGGTCGTAGGTACTAGGTATTGCCGAGGAAATGTAAAAAATGTAGGAATATACCTACAAACAAGATGTGGCTGATGAAAACATTAGGATTAGGTAATGATATATGTTTTTATTCAAATTAATATAATATTTTAAAGTATATTTATCATATATGTTTCATAAATTTTCATGTGCAAACAGAACTATGCAATTTTTAAAATATTGACTTCTGTAAATATACTGTGGTATATTATACAGTATGAACTCGCCATGCATAGAAACAAATTAGATCTCATGACCGTTTAATCATAGTTTTTATAATAATTTAATTTGTAAAACACACAACATGTAATTTTTTTTTTTAACTTCCATAGTACCTATTAAATGTACACATATGATAGCTAAACATTGCAATTATTCTGTACACGTCGGGCGACGACGACGAACATTTAATATAGGTACTCGTATTTAATATTAAAATATTTGCGTCAATAATTATTTTAAAATAACCAATTATTTTACGTAATTAAATGCTTTCAAAAACTAAAATTTTAAAAAGTTCATGTAGAATATTACAATTCTTATAATTTACTTTTATATTAAAATATCAATAAAATTCAATGAGGTGTCCTGGATAATATTTTAAATTAAAATGTGATAATAGCTAATAAATCAATTTACTCTAATATCAAAGCTAATCCAAAATGTCCTAACTATATGTTGTAGAGAGGAGTAAACAAAATATGCTAGGACATCCTCTTGAAATATTATTATTATCCATACATATTACAGGCTACTGCAGCAGTTAACTACTACTAGTGAATAAAAAATTAATAATCTTTTATTATTTTTCACGAATAACTAGTATCAAAGAGATTATTTCAAGAAACGAGCATCTGTGCTACCTTAAGTCTTGTGAAATATATCATATAGGTAAGCTTAAAATAATAAAAATGCACAAAAAACGGTCGACTGGAGTTAATTTAAAAATAAATAATTTAGTAAAGGTACCTACTACGAAATATTTATTGTGACTAAGGTGATAAAAAATAACCAATAAAAACTTGGTAGGTAGTAGGCACAATAAGTCAACCAATTACAAAATAACATACGATATTTGAATTAGTTAAAAAAAATAAACGACTAGATTTAAGAAGGACAACATTATATTTTTACATGATAGAAAAATGGTAGATTAGGCATCTAACTTATAATAACAATATTTTGAAATATTTATCACAAAACAGGTATATGTACCTGTAATATAATAACCTATTATAGGTATATCACGGACATAAGTTTTTAAAATAAAGGATTTTAATTATTAAATTTTAGGATGGTTTGAACTGATTGATAATGTTATAATATTGTGTAATGAAAAATTGTAAAAATGATAAAAAAAAGTTTGGAAATTACTTTGATATTACCTACATAGTAGTATTACAAGTTAATACTTAATAGTATCAACAAGTATTTTAAAAACTCCTAACTTTATTATAATATATATTAGTAATGCAAGTATAATATTATATTATATTAAAGTTTTATACAGAATACAGTCCTCGGATATATTTATACAGTCACACATACAAACATACATACATTATAAATTACGTCCGTTTACTACATTAACTGTTTTTTTCATATTTTGTATGTATTTTATTAAAAGGTATATTGAACTATCGAAATATGTTGAAGACAAAAGTTTAAGTACCAATATATAAATTTCACCACCTGCAGGACAAACGCCGCCGATATATTCACTGACAATAAAAAATATATATCATGTAAATACTAAAAAAATCCGTTCTCTGATAATAACTGATTCTACTTTAAAATATTTTAGACGTCGTAGAAAATGCCGTGCACCCAGAAAATATTATATACCTAGGTAAACATTTTCCTACTTCACCGTTAAAATTGGATATGCACATATTATATTTTGAACACAACGACAGAATATTTTAACAAACTGTCGGCCGTGATTGCTTATATGCATGAATACATTTGTGAGATGATATAGCTGGTATATAGTATACCTGCGGTATACGTATATAATAATTATTGAGACATGTCCAATTTAAAACAAAAATCCAATAATAATAAATAGGAAAAAAAATCAATATCTGCATACAATATTGCGATTAATAACATATAACGTCCGATGTGGTCCAGCAATGTCGTTTTTCGTAGTAAAATTATAGAAAAGACGTTGCGTCTCGTATATTGTTATAATACTATTATGTTTTGAGGTGTCGTAAAGGCGCAGTTGCACGCGCAATTACCGTAATAGTGTGCGAATTCCTCATTACCTAATGCGCTAAAGACAATGTTTTCCGAAAATTTCGATTTTGCCGGGCGCTGGTGATTACGGTGGGCTCCTAATGTCCCCTACTGCCAGGCCGACCATTTGCAAACGACGATACCCGTGGACGTCTACTATATAAGCCCAGGACTCCAGTCGAAAAGGCACATCACTTCTTCAGTCGTCTCTTCGAACACACGCACCTGAACAAGTCTCCGCAGTCAAACATACTCGACTTCACTCCACATCACTCGACATCACTCGACGAACGCTCGAAAAACCTTCCACACTTCCACAAAACTTCAACAACAACAACAATAACAACATGTACAAGTAAGGCTAAATTGTTATTATTATTATTATTGTCGATCTACTGAGTAGATATACTGAGTACACATTTTGCGGTTCATATCGGTCGTCGAATTCGACGTTTTTCGAAAGTATATTTTACTACTTGTCAAGTTTCGAGTACACACCACGGATATTATTATCTGATGGATGAAATATATTTTAAATGAACGATCTATGCGTGCCGTCAAAAATCGAATAATTTATTGTATTATTGAGTATTGACTATTGTAATAATCTTCATATAAAAGTAAAATAACGACACAATTGTTCACCGTTTACAGGTACACAGTCATGATCGCAGCGGTGGTTGTTGTGTTGGCATCTCTGGCCAGCTCCGTTCCGGCCACTTCCGCCCAGACAGCGGCCAACAAATTGGACATGATGTCGCCCGCGGCCACATCGGTTCACAACCAACACGTCAGGCCAGAACACCATTCAATGTTCTTGTCCGAGGCCCATAGAGAACAGTCGAACAATGGCGGCAGCCTACTGGAGTCCGCTCTGTCCGGACTGTTCGAGGCGATCAGCATCCCGAAGAAGATCGTCAGTGCCTTGGTCGGCAAAGTGTTCGGTCACCTCAAGTCCATCAACCTGAAAGGACTCATCAAGATCGTTTTGGTTGGAGGCGCGGTGGTCTTATTGGGAGCTGTGGCCGCGGCCGGCGCTGCCGGTATCGCCGCCGTCGTGGCTTTGGTGAGCGCCGCACTCCCGTACTTCCGTTTCTTCTTCGGCGGCCACAAGGGCGAGGCATCCGACTCCGAGATGGACAACATCAGTGAATTCGTTTTGGGCGCATTCAACAAGTACGACAGCCAGCACAAGGCGTGATGACGCGACTTTTCGCTTCAATACTATAATATTTAATAACTAACCGTTCGGTTTTATTTATTGTACATTTCACGCAACGTTGATAATGGCTTACCTATATTTATATTATTTATATATTATTATTATTTTTCGAGCATGATAATAAACAAAAATATTCTACTCTTATATGTGGCACGTTTATCGTTTTATCTTATGACTTATTACCTACATAATATGTTCTTATGCTTATATGTAAATACTATTATATATACAATCGTATTTGTTGTATATGTGCTTACTGCTCAGTATACGACGAGAAATAGTAACGAGGGCGGTACGAATTAAAAAAGTTTGTGATTCTGCTGTTTGCTTTGAATGCATAATGCGTTCAAACATCGGATTTGTTTGACTATATGTAATCTTTAGGTATTTTGTTAAAAAAAAAATACATACAATTTAACTTCAAACTTTAACTTTAACAATAAAAAGTGGGTACCACTATCAGATAGGTACTACATTAAGTGTCGTGTTGGTCACTGAAAAGACTAATGGATGGTGTTAAATTTGAATTCAATGATATCATTACATATAACAATGAATCTGAGTGGAGACCTCAGCCAATCTGTGAGCCTATATTATAATAATATTTTTAAATTGCAAAAAAACTAAAATCTTTATTAATATTATTTATTCTAAATGTTACTGCATACGAGTAAAATAATATTAAATACTAAATAACAAGTACCTAAACATTTTTAAAATTCCTTAGTTAACTTAATATAACAAAACCAATAAAAATATGTCACTAAAATATAGATAATTCAATTGCGTCAATATTACCTTAGACCGGTTTGCTAAAGTGTAAATTTAAATGTACATATTATGCTACCTTTTAGATTCCACTGTTACAAAAATAATTTTAAACAAATAAGAAAACCTCTGGGAGCGAGCTAAATTCCCGGTTTCCCGACGTATTTTAGTACAGCGTAATAATAACTATACCTAATTCAAAATTCAATTTAAACAGAATTTGGTAAACTTAATATTTCGGTTGTAATTATATTTTGGCTTCTATGGATCTATATTAAATAATAAATACTTATGCAATGAGTACCTGTCAGTGGGACTCTCAGTCGATATCAACAATTGTACTTAAATATCTTAATACAAACTATCGTAACTAATGGACGGATGGACGGAAACAACAGGGATATAAGGTATGTTCTAAATTTATATTTCGAAACCTAAAACAGTACCTACTTATTAAAGTATTTACTAAAATCGAAATCCAGAAAATGGTCTTCAATATTCATTCATAATTATTATTGGTAATTTATATTTATATTCGTAATACCTATAGCAATAATTTACTATGATAATAATACGGTATGCCAAACTATTTTTTTTCTCAAAAACATATTATATTATATTATTAATTATTATAATATAAGATATATTATCCGTTCAGGGGCCTGGTCGCGACCTGTTTTTTTGCTCAAAAACATGCCTTACAGGAAAAACTCTCACGCCTTGTAGATTGGTCCGATTTCCGTAATTTTTTTTTTTGTTAAATAGAGGAAGACGTATTGCAGGGCGCATTGGACTTGGATTTTCAAAATTATTTTTCGAAATCTTATATTACAAGTTTGAATTTAATCCATTTTTACAACTTTTTAGTTTTTGTATTATTATTTATTTTTAGCAACGTAATCAAAAATCAAAGTCCAATGCGCCCTGTAAAAAATATTCTTCTATCTAACAAAAAAAAATTACGGAAATCGGACCAATCTACGAGGTGTGAGAGTTTTTCCTGTAAACTGTGTTTTGACCGATATAATACACCCTATCAACCCCCCCTAAATAGGTATTGGGTAGTAGATTAGTGGAAAAGTCTTATAATTGAGGTGGCAACTAAAATATAAAATTTAATTTTCAAATTTTATAGAATTGCGGAAAATTTGAAAAATCGCGATCAGGCCCCTTAATAATGTTTGTACATGAATACCACGTATTAACTGTAAAACGGAGTTAATATAGGTTCATGGTATGAGTAGCTTAAAATAAGTTTAAAGATTTTGAAAATTTAATTTATGTATACAAAAGTAATTTACTTAATAAGGGCGATAAGCATCAAGTACCTATCTACAAAGTATTAAAAATAATGAAAATCTTAATTTTCCGTTTAAAGTTTAAATAATTGCTTAATAATATGAATCTTAATTAATATATTAATATATTATACATACCTGCTAAAATGTTATCAAAATTAGAACTACAAACGTCTATAAAAAAAATGTTGTATTATAAATATTTTTTCAGTAAAAATAACTTATGACTTATGAGGAACGTTATGTAATATGTTACATTTTTAAGTCTTATGACTGTACACATTTCGAAATAGACTAGAAACAGTAAAACATTTCAAATATCCATAAACAATACAAGAAGGGACAAATTAATTTTTGATTTATAGAAAATTTAAGTACAAATATTCAGTAAGAATGTCAAGTCTCTACGATACGGTTATTAATTTTTAAATTCGAATAAAAAAAGGTGGGTAAGTGGATGTCACTGCTGTACAGTCACTGTATAATGGATGGTATTACATTTGAATTCAATGATATTATATCATTGTATAAGAAAAACGATTCTGAGCGGAGACGGTATGTCCTTCTAGGTATAAGACATATTATATACTTATCTATGGTATTAAAAAAAATTGACCTAAAATGAATTCCAAATTAATCATATCACAATATACAGTAAGTACACCAACAACAAACCCTGATACCATCATAGATTATTTATATTAGTATACTTTAGAAGTTTCAAGTACCCACGAATAATATTATACAATCACAACAAAATAACAAAAATAGTTATTCTAGGTTTTTTATTATGTAATTTCGTCCAAATTTAAACTTGAAATTACTATAAAAATAAAATTTGCTTATGTATTTTTTAGATTTTTTGGTAACAAAATTAACTACTTACGTACAATCTTGTTTTAAATTTTCAATCCTTAGATATAAAAGTTGAACATTTTATAAATTTTTAACTAAAAAATAATTATTCAATTTTAAATTTGATACATTTTGTCAATATTCGATCTTTAAGTGCTTATAAAAAAATATTGTGCCTATGTATTTTTAATATTTTTCAACTGATATTGTAACAGTATATCAGGAGCCTTGTATTCAATTTTTACTCTTTTTGGCCCAACAGATAAAATTTTATTGATATTTATAGAAAAAAAAAAATGGGAAATGCTAATATAAATATTCAGTGAAATTTTCATGTATCTACAGTTATTCGTTTTTGAATTACAACAAAATTAGGAAATCGCTACATGAAAAATCGAGTGAATATCCAATGTTGTAAAAATTTGAATTTCAAACGCTCATAAAAATTTAATTTGAATTTTCGGTAGAGATTTTTTTATTGATAAATGTAGAAATACTTATGAGTAATCTTGTATTACATTTTCAAATCTTAGATTTAAAAAGAAAAAGAATTCTTAATTCAAAATAATTTGCTAATTTTCGTGATTTTTCCATATTTTGTCAATTTTTGAACTTTAAATGCTTATAAAAAAAATTGTGACGAAGGATTTTTAATACTTTTCATCTGCCTTTGAAACAATATACTAGGAGCCTCCTATTAAATTTTCAAGCTTTCGAAACCAACAAATACAATTTTATTGATATTTTTAGAATAACAACTAAAAAAAAATGGAAAATTAAAATGTCCCCAAACAGTTCAAAACAAATCATAATATTTTAAAAATGTTATCGTGTATAGAAAATGCAAATATAAACAACCAGTGAAAATTTCATGAATCTACGGTCATTTGTTTTAAAGTTACACCAAAAACCAAATTTAATTTTCTGAAAAATCGATTTTGCGTAAAAATTCCCGTTTTTCCTTAATTTTTCTTTTGTTTTTCTTGGCGCTTTTGAAAAGTACTGGGAATGCACCAACCTCCCCAATGCACCAACGATATTCACTTTCCAATCGAACAAGATACTGAAGTTGAAAATCGAAGAATTATTTCGACTACTTATCGTGTACACAGACACAAAAAAAAATTAAAAATTAAAAAAAACTAAAAAAAACACACATCATTGTAAAATCAATACATTCATCGTTCCTCTCAGAATCTAAAATAAAATCAGTTTGGTCGAAAACTGGTTTTGCATAAATACCTATTATTCCCATTTTATAGAATTTTTCTAATTCCGATTGCTGAATATTTACGGGAAGTGGGATATATTACTTTGATCCCCGATCTGACATTCCCTTTCATATAGGAAATTTTATAATGTTGACTTTGTGACCAACAGGTCTTGCCGTCCCCTTGAAAGAAAAAATACCAACTTTTTCAACATTTTTTTTTATTGTGAATAGGAAGGATGGCAATCACCAGAATTCTGTAAATTCAACTTGCACCCCACACTTTCCCCTCATAATCAAAATTATATAAATGGCGAATGAAACACGTCTTGTCATATTTAACCTAGTAAACATTTTGGACATTTTAGATTCTGAGTGGAACGATGAATGTATTGATTTTACAATGATGTGTTTTTTATTTTTTTTGTGTACACGATAAGTAGACGAAATCAGCGCTGGATAGAGACTTTTGGGCCCACAGAGATTTTAAATTTCTACCGGCCCTCAACAAAGTATCGGCCCTTTGGACAAAAAATGTTTTATGTTCACACTTTTAGTATGTGTGCTTTAATTAATAATCGTTTCTCTAAAGCACATTTACAAATTATCTAATAGGTACATAACATTAAGCTCGACATTAAGTTACTTAGTATGCTTCAGTTATATAATATATTATTAAAAAAACGCAAAATATAACTTTAAGCTAGATCGCCTAGATATATGCGCAATTTGTACACATTTTATTTTATACTCATCAGTCATCACTGATGAGTCATGACTAGAGTCCGGATTTTTATGCAAAAACATATTTTTAACAAGCTTATGCCGTTTGATGGGAGTAAAATATA